CCCCCCCCCCCCCTACCCCTAACCCAACTTCCCCGATTGCATGCTTTATCCAACATGTTTGCTTAAACCTGCGAATTGCAGGCTTCATTCAACATGTTTGCTTAAACCCTGCGACTTGCACGCTTTATCCAACATGTTTATTTAATCGAAAACCCCTGCCAAGGCTACTGCAATCGATCCTACCCATGCCTTGACGACCTCAACCCTACCCTCCTCCTTGGGGGTTGTATTCCAGACAAAATTATTACCGTGTCTCCCAGCATGGTCTCCAGCCGAGTGGTGGCCACGACCAGCTCCTCCCCCTCCTCCCCCCCTTCCACGCGGTAGGCGAAGTGGGTCATGGTGCCGAACTCGTACTTGGGCCTCTTGGTGTGCCCCGGGACGGCCATGTAGGTCTTGCCCTCCAGGTCAACGTAGTCAACCTTTTCCCAGGCGAAGGAATAAAACAAGTGGCGAGCGACACTAAATAGATGTGTTTTCAGCACATTCCAATGCTTCAAAAGTAGGGCTTGCGAGTGTGTGTGCGTAAAATGTTAACGGCATCGGGCGCGTCAATCCGCCGACCAGCGAAATTCGTCAGTTTCGGTGCGGCTGCTCGCGTGTGTTGCGTTTTGTGGTATCTTCTTCCCCAAAACCAAAATCTAGGAACGATACATGTCTTCTCTGCGTATGTAGCACGACAGGACAAGTTGAGGGTGACAAAAGGCAGAAAACCGGCTTCTTTGGGTAATCTCCTTTCTTCACACTTCGCACCTCGATGTCCGAGATCGCCGACTTGAGCGCGCAGCTCCAGTTCCCCAGGCGGGTGTCGCGGTAGATGAGGCCAGACTCGTGGAACCGGCAAAACGCCTCCGTAACGGCGCCTGCTCACACGCGACGTCGGAAATCGGTTTGGGGGTGTTGAGGATGCCAAATAATTTCAGAGGGATGGGGATCTTGGTTGAGGACAGAAAAGAACAGGGGGGACGAGACTTGCGAAAAGCTCGCGATGTTTTGCTGGGAGATTGGACTCTCAAGCTGCTGCCGTCGTTGACAGGTTTATCGGGAAGAAGAGGCGTTTGTTCTCCGCGGGATCGGGTGCTCAGCATACACGATTGCTCGGGGGACACATACTATCATGGAAACCGTAAGCCAAAAAAAAAAATAAACGCACGGGAGAGGTTGGCGTCCATGGTGAAGGCCTCCCGGCTCCAGTCCACCGAGGACCCTAGTTTTCGGATCTGGGTCGTGATCTTGCCGCCGTATTCATCCTTCCACTTCCACACGCGCTGTAGACATATACACCACATTTATTGCGGTCGAAAAGCAAAATACACAACAGAAAAGAGACACGAAGAAAGGAGAGATGCACACGGACGGACCCGGACACGAGGGAGAGGGGGGGGGGCGGGGGGAGTGAGAGGTGTTTCGTCGATGCATGACTGTGAGGTGTGGCGTTGGGGACGACCGGTCAGTCGAGAGGGTAGCGGCGGCGCTGCTGCTGTGAAGCAGCAGCGCTGGGCATGAGCATAGGTTGACGCTCTGGTAGCCGAGTGACGAGATTGGGCAACGACAGGCCACTCTCGACACGACGCTGTGCACATGGCGGGACCAACAGTGCCGTGACTCCGCACCTAAAGCAGTACCTTGCGAGAAAAAACAACAAAAAAACTCGACAAAATGAGAAACGAGAAGGACCTTCGTTGTGGTTGTTGGCACAGAACGAAAAAAAGAACGGAACGCAAAAGAGAAAACAAACGTACGTCGACGAACTCTTCTCGCCCGAGCTCGTGGCGTGTGACGTTCTCGTCCTTCTTGAGCTTCTTCTCCACCACGGACTGCGTCGCGATCCCCGCGTGGTCGGTGCCCGGGACGTAGAGCGTGGCGTGGCCGAGCATTCGATGCCACCTGCAAAACAAGAAAAGAAAAATCACCGCCCGTTTCGTTTCGTATCCCACGTAACAGCAGCGAGTCATGTGATGTCGTCCACCCCCCTGCTGTACGGGGCGACAGGCCGCTTCCTTCCTGTGCACGAGGGTACCCGTTATACGTTCTAAGGGACCCGCTACTTGAAAACAAAAGAGCAACACAGATCTTGGGTTAAGAGTGTTTTCTACTCGACCGGTCGTCTCTCACACGAACCCCCCCCAACGTCCCCTCCATTGTGCCAATCCCACGATATCAACCCCGTCTCTCTCATCCACCTACATGTACATACATACCTGCAGAGCGTGTCTTCGACGGCCGCCGTGAGGGCGTGCCCAAGGTGCAGGGAGCCGGTGACGTTTGGCGGCGGGATAACCATGATGAACTTCTTGTCCGCCGGCATGCTCTGGCAAACAACACGCAAGAAACAAAGCCCCCGACAAAAAAAATCAACAAGGACGGAGTGAAAAAAAACCCAAAAAAAACAAGGACATCCGTTGCCATGCCTGACTTTGTTTGCCGTGACCACGCACGCATCCTTTTGCAGACACGGAACCTTTATCTGCCTGTCTGTCGGTCTATCTCTGTCTCTATCTCTGTTTCTCTTGTCTCTCTGCCTTTCCTCTCTCTCTCTCTCTCTTTCTCTTCTCTTTTCTCTCTCTTCTCCGTCTGCCTCTTCCTCATTCCCCTACTTTCTCGAACGGCACCCTTCCCCGCCCCCCAACCCCCCTCCTCTCACCGCCGCCTTGGCCGGGTCGCACGTATAGAAACCCGCTGCCTCCCAGTACTCCTGCCACGCCGCCTCTACGTAGAGGGGCTGGTACGTCGCCGGCATGTCCCTGGAGACATCCTTCTTCGTTCCGTCCCGCGGCCCGTCGTAGGACACGATCACCTTAAAGCGGGACCCCCCCACACGCACACACGTTCGGAAAAAAGGAAGTTGCCCGTGTGCATGCGTATGTACTTCGTAGCAAGCCGGATTCGTTGGGCGTGTATGTGCAGAGCACGCCGGATTTGTTTAGGTTCCCACTGGAGCAACGGGCATACGCTGCATCCACCGCTTGTGAGTTTGAGGGCCCCGACACCCCCAGTGCAAAACACAAACGGGTGATCAGTCTCGGTGCTAAGCCCGCCCCGAGACTCGGACCCGGTCTACTGCCGCAATGAAAGACGCCCCAAGCCACGGATTGGACGACGCCCAAGCCACGGATTCTCACAGGTTCGGTTCTTGTGTCGGCGATACCACAACTACTTTTCTTGCGTGTCACCTCCGCGGTCTTCTTCTTTTCCTTCTTCTTCTCGCTGGTAGCGGCCGGCGGTGCAAATGTCTTCTTCTCCTTCTTCTTGCCCCCTGACTTTGCCAGCTTCTTCATGGCGTTCTGCTCAAATGGAAACCGCCGCCGCCGCCGCCGCATATTGCACAACGGAAAACGCACCAAGGATTGGGAAACCGTCGGTGAATTGAAAGTATGTCATTGTTTCGTTTGCCCTTCTGCACAGACGATCCCCTCGTGTAAACCAAAAGTGGGACATGCTTGCGTTTGCATAGCCAACATGTGCGCCAGAAACAGAAAACAGGAACACAGGAGGAGCATGCACATATCGAGGAACCGACAGGATAGCGTGTGTGCGTTCCAGGATGTTTTTCAGCTGCTGCGGAAGCAGCCTACAAAACACCGCATTGACAGCGGCAAGTCTACGAAGAACGCCTTCCCCCGCAGAGCAAGAGGGTCTCCGGCTGAGCCGAGGAGCATTCTGTGCTGGACAAGTCTTGCCGAGAACGAAATTCACGGTCGCTTCAATGTGGAGAAGGGCACGGCAGGTTGCTCCAGTGGAAGGGTGGGGGGGGGGGCGTGCTCTTATGTTTTGCATGCCTCAGCGGTTAGACCATTGACCACGCGTCATCGAGAGGACGGAGCATTGTTCCCACAGGACCGATCACCGATGGCCATCGTTCCTTTCTACTTTGCCAAAGTGGCTCAAAAATGTCTTCCCTAGTCTGTCTATCCCAAAGATATCCCTTCCCGCCTTTTCAACCCACCTCCTATGCCCCAGTACAGCTACCGTCCTTTCCTCTCCATTCCATGCCTCAAACATCTCCCTGTACGTCCTATCTATTTTTTCCAGCTCAGTCACGTGCACTTCCCTCTCCTTGTACCACGGACATTCCGCGACTACATGAACACCGTCTTCCCATTCGAAGCCGCGATAACATATGAACTCATCGTCGTCTACCGTATATGTCTTCAGTCTTCGTCGACGTTCTCGAAGGCC